GATGATACAATATTATTACGAGTTGTTTCAACAAATTGTTGAGATTCATTGACCGTTGATTGTACGGGTAATGATACTGAATGAACATCTAAACATATATAAGATTGACAAAGTAATATTATCATTGATTAAAAAAAAAAAATCTCATTCGAGTAGAAAACAATTGATCGATTTACTAGTGCAATTCGAATTCTATCTTTCGAAAACTAGACATATTCTTATCAATCTTTAAATCTATGAATATTATACTTAGGGCAAATCAAAAGTTCGTAAAACGGTTTTAAAGAACCTTGTCGGATAAGGTAACCTATTCCGAAATGAAAAAGCAAATATACCATGTTGTAGAGCTTTTTGAGGCGCGTCGAATGGTATATAATAAATCTTGTTTTCATAAGACTTTGAAGGAACTAGAGTCAATTTACTGATAAACGACTACTTACCACCCTCACCTAAGTATGATAGATTACTGAATATTGTGGTCCTTGGGATTAGTCGAAAGTATTTGTAAAATATTTTTTCTCACATACGATTTTGCAGAGTTTTTGACGGGCTACAACCTCATATGTGTAGCATCTCCAGTCATCTTGTCAGTGTGGGTGAGTAGTCGTCTATCAGTAAATTGACTTTATTATATACCATTCGACGCGCCTCAATAAGCTCTACAATAGATATATTTGGTTTTTCATTTTGGAATAGGTTACCTTATCCGACAAGGTTCTTTAAAACTGTTCTACGAACTTTTGGTTTGCCCTAAGTATTTTTTAAAACACGATTGTTGAAGTATAGGAATAAAAACTTAAGTTCTCATCCTTACACATCACAATAGACGCTAGCTAGAGATTATCACAAATTGTAAGAAATATTTTAGTTACTGATCATGATAAGCTATCACAGGTTGTATATCAATAATGTCCTCTTTATAATTCCATATTGCATAGCTGGAAGATTAAGTGGAAACATAAGGAAAAAATGTGCTTTGAATGAAACAATCTCTTTATAGACTATAGGATTTACGAAATTTCTGTAAAACCACATCCGCAGCTCATATTTCAGTTATAATCAATTCTGATATCTTTGAAAAGTTTTATGAACTATCTTTCAATTTGCAAAACTTACTTTCATTAAATGTTTGTGAGGTATTTTCATCAGTCATTGGTGGTGGTGGTGGTGTTACCATTTTAGAAATATGTTCTTGAATTGATTCAATTGGTTCTTTTGGTATCTTGAATAAACAAAAAAAAATCAAACATATTTATAAATTATAAACAATAACAAACTTCATTAATTATTGATGTAATTTGTATTTGTTGTTCTTTTTTTTGACGTAATTCAAATATATATGTACTAAGAAATTTTTCATTATGAATTAATTCAACAAAATAAATATCATGATCTTTTGAAAAAATTTTCATATTAAGTCGTTCTGTTTCAAAATCTCTTAAAAGTATATAACGTTCTTCATCAGTTAATTTAATATTAACTAATTTTATTTGTACACTTTGCCATGGAATATTTCGTAAAATATCTGGACATTGACTAAGACGATCTATTGAAACAATTTCTTCATTACCAAAATCAACAAAATATACATGAAAACCAGTTTCTAACAAAAACAAAAAAAAAATTTATTTTACAACAAAAAAAAAACAAATTTTTTTTTTTTATACCAGAAACATTTTTAATCCATGCTCGATACCAAAGATTATCACCTTCATATTGTGCACAAACAAGCATATTTGATATTGGTTGTTTAATTAATGGTTGTTTATTTATATTCCAATCTTTAAGTATATTCATAATAATTGAAAGACAATCAGATATTAATAATACATGAAAACATTCAGATTCTAAATCAACAGTTGTTAATTGTACAGAATAAATTTCTGATAAATTTATTTCAGGTTTATTTATTTCATTATCGAAAGATTCTGAAATCTATTTTAAAATAGAAAAATAAAAATTAGATTGAATGGCTTGTTTATTTTATTACTATTGTTGTTGAGGATAATGATTGTGGTAATATTGCACGTATTTCAGCATTTAAATCTCGTTTATCTAAATTAAGTTGTACATATGGAATATCATTTTCAATACGTAATACAATCATTTCAAGTTTAACATCAAGAACTTAAAAAATATGAAATAAAAATTTTAATAAAAATTTTTTTTTTGTTTTTAACTATACCTAATATTTCAAGTATAGCATTTGTTTGTTCATCAGATAGTTTATTTTCAATTGATATTCCATCCAAAATACATTTAACACATAAAATAGGATCTTTATAATATCTAGATAAATAAAATAAAAAAGATATTATTGAGAATTACTATAAATTGAAGAAATGAAATTAATCCTTAAGAGTCGAAGTGGCTTCCGCTTACGAAAAAAATGAGAATCTAATTAGAAAAAACAGAGATTATGGACCCTTAGTATACTCATACTATAGTTAAAAATAATTACCTTCTTCTTATTCTCAATCTATGCAACCTTCTTTGGCAGGAATATCCATCCCTGTAAAAATTCGGAATTTCAATCTGAAACTTTGCCTTTAGATAATACTTAATATGCTCCGAAATTTTCACTTAGAACAGATGTTTTCTTGCTGAGATATTCAAAATCCAAAAATCAGCTAAATTTTGCTAAAAACTTCAACATTCTGTATCTCGCGAAAGAAACAACAATTGTTCCTAAAAATTTTGAAACTTCCTAAACACTACTAGGTCTATGTATGAGCCAAGTTTCATATTAGAAATACATTGTTTTGATTCTCACCGATGATCATGGCACAATCTGTCAGTAGATCGGTTAAAAGATTCTAGAACATTGACATTGAATAGCTTGATGATAGACTTAAGAGTGTAACGTAAAATAAACTACACTGTATGTCGCATATCCAACTTTAGGGAAGAAAGATGTTATTGAAAAAAGTCATCAGTCCTAAAAGATGTTTTACTATGCCTGACAACCACCTGAATACTACATTTTAGTCTAGGTATGATCTCGAAAGTCATATCAATCCAGAAAAATTTTTAAAATCTAGATAAATATTTACTCATTTGGTAATGGACGAATTTCAAGAATTGAATCACACCAACCCGTATTACCCCTTAATTTAAAAGTAAATATATAAAAAATAAAAAGTAAAATATATTTTACCAATCAATATATTGAACATGAACACGATTTTCATCAATTTCTAATATACGAGCTCGATACCAATCACCATTAAAAAGTGCAGCACAAAATTGTCCAACAACTAATCTAATAAAAAGAAACAAAAAAAAATCACTCCTTCCATAGACTATATATCAATATCTATATGAACTAATTATTTCCTCGTTGTATTTTTTTAAGAATTAAATAAAAAAGAAAACGGATGAAAAAATTATTTTTTTTTCTTTTTACTTTGATTTATAAGAATTTGCTTGAATTTTTGTTAATTGTTCATGTTTATTCATTTGTGTTATAAGTAATGTTGCATTAACATAATCATCTAATGTAGCTACATATATTATATTAGGTACTTCAAGATTTGATAAATAAACACAATAATTTTTATTTATTATAAATAAATCATGTTCACGTATATTCATTATTAATTCTAAATAATAAAAAATTTTTCTTTTCTTCATACCAAAAAAAAAATATATATATATTATTTTTACCATTACGTAATGAATTTTTATCATTTTGTTGTTCAATATTTGTATTATTCCATAATGTTTTATTATTAACTAATGTATCTGATTCATTTATATTTAAAGGTGTATTATTTGTTTTTAAGCGTATTGTATTTATTGGTGAATGTTCATTAGTTGATCGAAAACCATTAAATCGATTTTGAATATTCGATGATGATATATTATTATCTTCATGTAATTCACCATTAGTACGACTATTGATATTAAATTTTCAAAAAAAAGATTTTTGAATAATAAACTTATTACTCACAATCCATTTTGTGATCGATCAATATTATTATTACCCAATCGTGTCTTAAAAAAAAACCCATTATTTAAAATAATAAAATTTAATATATTTTTACTGTTGAATGATTAACACGTAGAGTAAATCGATCAATAATAAAATTATTCATAGTTTCAACAGCTTTAATACAACTATCTGATTCAGCATAATTAACAAAACTAACAAAAAAAGAAAACAAAGAAATATTTCTTAATTAAAAATTTAAATCCTACCCACAACTACCATCAAAATTTGGATTATTTGGTAAAATTTTACTTGATATAATACGACCAAATTTAGAAAATAATTCTTCAAGTTGACTCTAACAAAAAAAAAAAAAACAAAAATCCAATGATATATTAAAATAATTTTTTATTCATATGAAAAAAATTTTACTTCAGTATAATTTGTTGGTAAATTTTTTATAATAATACTATTAATACGTCTTTAATTAAAATTAAATTTTAAATAAATAACTTTGTTTTTTGTTTTCTATATTTACCTTCCGTAATCGTTCATAGTTGAACTTTTAATTTTATAAATTGTAAAAAAAAAAGAAATGGGGAAAAAATATCGATATTATATTAAATTTACCACGATAGAGGTATATAAGAAATATATTTATAGAATGATCAATAAATGGATTGGTTAAGTTCTACCAAACCAAAAGAATCATAGTTAACTTCGTCAAAACAAAAATAGAAGCGGCGATAATGAGAGAAAAAAAACACGTTTGTGCATTTTTTTTTCTGTGTTCTTCATTTTTCAATATAACATCTGACTACAAAATTTGTTACATTTTTTTTCAAGGCGAATCAATTAGCGACAGCTGTACCTCATCGTAGACAAATACAGAAGAAAAACCACAACTAGTTGACAGACCTTCTTTTTTAATATAGATTCTTGTCACATACGAAAAAGAGAGGTATTGATTAATTTTTTTTTGTTTTATACAAAAATATTCATTATCTTACTGTTTTTTTATAGATTATATTTGTTCCTCTTTTTCAAAAATAAAATATAATTTTTCAATATGTCTTTCTTCAGTCGACTATTTAAATTTCGAATATTCGTATGTTATTTTGTTTTTCTTTGAATATTATTAAAAAAGAAAAAGTCGATTAATTTAATCTTATAGAAATTTCGTACGACTCTTGCCGAAGAACTTGAAGATCTTCATTCAGTATGAATAGTTTTTTGAAAATTAATTCTCTTTATTTCGTTTTTTCTTTTTATTTTTAGGAGTCACTCCATTTACAGCATAGTTTAACTGAAATACGTCTGCTTCAACGAAAATGGACGAAATTATTTGCTATCTATGCTGTTATTGCGTATTTAATTGTGAACATTGTTTATTTTACTCTTTTTCTTTCACATGATTATATTGTTCGTACTTATGCAGTTCTGTTTTCTTTAACACTTGGAGCTTTGTAAGTATTTTTTTTTCTTTCTTGTAAAAACAAAAAAAAAAACCTCTTGATATTGATTTATATTAAAAACAAACAGACTTTATGGAATACATTGGCTTATCTGTTGGTATTTTCGAACTACTATTCAAATGAAAGGTCAGTGAATATATCAGATAGAGAGAAAAAAAAGTCTTATTATTATTTCGATTTTGTAGAAGATCGATTAGCATTGTTCAAAGATCGAAAACAAGAATTGGTAAAAGAATTATATATATATATATAATTTCTATTAGATATTTGTTGATTTTGTTTTTTTTTTTAGATTGAAGAAGTAAAAAATAAGGAAACATATGCAGTAGCTAAAAATATATTAGAAAAATATGGTGAAACAGTAACATCAGAAGTTCGACCAACACAAGTGGAAAATAATGATAGAAGTATGTCGAGAAAAAAAGAAACATAACGAACATGTATATTTGATGAAATATAAGAAATAAAACTTCAATTGATTAGATAAGAAATGGACTTTATATTTGTTATTTATAGATCTACGTCAACGTGTATCAATCAAACCAACACCACCCGGTTCCAATAAATCTTCTACTCCTGGTAGAATATGTTCTTATTTTCATATAAAAGTTAACTACTGAATATTTTCTTTTAGTTCCATCACCTAATATTGGTACATTAGAAACGTTTAATCCACAAGGATCAGCAACTAATGGACCAAATCGTCCAACTTGTATGTATTTTTTTTTGTTTAATATGATTCTTGGAAATTATAGTTTTAAATATTATATAGTTAATGCTACACCTGGTAGATTACCACGAGCAGTTTTACCACCACAACGAACATTCTTGGGAACAATTCTGGATGCTATTGTAGGTGATGGTCCATCGAAACGGTGAGTTAATTATTTTTATTTTTTTATTTTTATATTAGAATGCAAAATCGGTTGGAGTTTTGCATATTGTAGTTTAATATGTGACAAACGTTTACATGAACGATGGAAATTTCGATTTCGGTAGAAAGTTATTATATATAGGATGAGGGTTTTTCTCGTTCCAAAGGTTTAAGGATTTATTATTTGCTTTATTTATTTTCTTTGTATTAAATAAATTTAATTCATATTTGTTTTTGTTTTCATTTAGCTATGCATTAATCTGTAAATCTTGTAATAGTCATAATGGTTCGTTTTTCTCTTAAAATTTAATAAATATAAGAAATGAATGTGTTTTTTTTTTTTATCTAGGGATGGCATTAGAAGAAGAATTTGAATATATATGTAATATTATTAATAATAATTTAATATTAAATAATAATTTTTCTATATTTAGCTTTTCGTTGTGCATATTGTAATTATTTTAATAGTGCACGTAAACAAAAGCCTGTCTTTCAAGGTAATATTGTTGCACATGATCCTCAAATAATAACAAGTCAATCACAAAATGAATCTAATATTGAACATAGAGAATCATCTAATTCTAATGAAGGTATTAATTTTATTTTATTTTGTAAATAATCAAAAATTTTACTTGTTAAATAGATAATATATCAAATAATACAGATTCGAATGTCATACGTCGATCAATTAATATCCCAGCTTCAGAAGAAACTAATGAATCTCAATTTCGTTCTACATTAGTTGAAAAACAACGAGAAAATAATCTCACATCATCATCATCCGAAGAAAATTGATCGAAATAAATAAATAACAGTAATATTTATTCTTGCCTGTAATCAAGCATCTTTATCTCGAACATTTGTGCAGTAATTTATGCATTTTATGAATCAAAAAATTATTAATTAACATACCAAACAGTGAATTTCTTTTCTTTTTTTTTTCTTTTTTTTTTAATTACTGGTGGTTATTCCTGTATATTTTGTGCTTCTATCTTATGAAATAAAATGAAAAATGAATCTCATATTATCATAACTTATCTGATGCAATAATATTAATATTTGCATCGTTCATAAGAAAAAAAAAAATTAAAATATATAATCAGATAGAATATCTTTCTGTTTTCTTTTTTGTCTAGTTTTATTATAAATCTACAAGTAATTAAATAGTTTTGAATAAAAAAATTCTTTTTTTTTGTATAAATTTAATTACATTGTTTTTAAGTGTCATCTTCTGTCGATGAGAATTTGGAAAAACAATTGTCAATAGAAGAAAAATTTAATAAGAAGTATGTTATAGTCAATATAATTTTTTATGTTAATATATTAATAAGATAAAAACGTTTTAAATAAGATTCAATACAGTATAAAATATTTTCAGAATGCATTCTCATTTTAATGTCTAAAAGTTAAATAGTTAAATTGAATCATTAGACTATTTGTGGTTGCTTCTTTTTTTTTAGTGAATTAAAGCAACGACTGAAAGCTGAAGAACACAAGTACAAAAATAAACAATTATACAACAGTACAAATGGTGAAGTAACTTCTCGTAATGATCAAGAACTTAATTCTCATGTAAGTCTAAGTTTTTTACCTACAGAGTAAAAAAAAGAAACAGGTCTTTCATATTTTCCTGCATGAAAATTGGTACAAGATTTACCTATTAAAACAGAATGTAACTGTTTTAAAGTCTTCATCCAGAGATATTTTTCATGATATATAGGCAAAAGTATAAGGGGAGGTCAGAATTTTGAATCGGGTCAAAACTATCAAATGGACTAACTTTCATAAAAAAAAGTGCATTAGTTTTGAAGAAAGTTTTTTCGGGATATCAGACTTTTAACATATAGACCCTTCTCCATTGGTGGAGTGTAGATCATTTCGAAAATACAAAGTTTTCTGAAAATCTAAAACCTTTAGGAAAAATTCGATAGTTTAGTTATATTCAAATCTTTTTACAGTGTTTATTAGAACACTATAAAGTATCTATAGCCCAAAAAAAAATCATTGATATCGGAAGAGGCATTGAAAAGAGGTTTCCTCATTAGCAGTATACATTTTTATTAATTTCTGTAGGTGGTAAAATTTAATTTAATTTATATAAGTATAAAAGGTCTAATACTTTTTTTTATTCTAAATAGGACGTGTATATTCAAAGCATTCTTCAAAACGTAAACTTTATTTCTATGATGTGCATAGTGATTCAATTAAAATTCAAATAATAGCTGATCTACGGTAAAACTCTAGCTAAACCATTGATAACATATTTGAATATGAAATTATTTATGTGTATTGTATCTGAACTTTATCTTAAAAATACAAATTAATTTTTTTAATAAAAATTTTCTAGATTATTAATATGACATATACTGATTTAATAGAACTAGCAGAAAATTTTATTTCTAGTCTTGTAACAGATGAAAAATTTCCATTAGCAACTGAATTTTTCAATAACAGGTATTGTAAAATATGAAAAATCTTATCAAAATTAAAATATTTTTTTTTTTGTTTTTCTAATAGAATCAAATAAATTTGTTGATAATTTGAATGTAGAAATCCAATTTTTGTAAAACATTTGAATATGGTCTTTCACCAACAGCTGATTGGAGTTCAGGGATTGATCGTTTGACTATGATACTTACTAATACTATTAATATGAAACTAAACTAAAACAAAAATCGAACATAAATTTATTCACATATGATTCAATTAAATATTTCATTCTAGGAATTTTTATTATTTTCAGTTGTTAAATCATACAAAGAAGATGAAAAATATATGGTTTATGTATTTTGAAATATCTAGAAATAAAAATTTTGTTTTCTACTGATATTAATTGTTTGTTTTTCGTTATGTAGCAAAAAAAAAGTATCGAATACATTCTAAAGTTTGACATGATTTTTGTTTTATTGTGTGACGTGTTCGTCCTTTTTTTAAAATAAAACAAATTTATCCTATGAGATAGTCTTCAATATTTAACAAGGGTAGTATCCCAAATGATTAATTTACTTTTAAGTCGAAAATTTGTGCTTTATGTAATCCCTAATGAGTTATGAATATACTGATAAGAGTTCAAACCTTTAGCTTATTCCTGATGAGTTATTACACTCTTATAGCTAAAGTTGTGTTAATATTAAGCAAGAAACTCTTGTTCAAATTTCGACTTTGAACTTTCTATAGGGACTGGGCCCATTGAAAATAGTTTATTATGAAAACGTTAAATATGTTCGTTTTTCTTATCTTAAGATACAATTATGACAAAAAGATGGTCTTTTACACCGACAGCTTTGAGATTAAAGCGTACATTAAGATTTACAATAAACTCTCTTCGTTAATAAAAAAAAAGATGAACTGTAAAAATGTAATATTTCAGCAATCTTTTCCGAAACCTTTGCATTTTCCTTAGAAATGAGACGATCCAATAATTTATTCGAAAAAAAGAAACGTGATTTTCAGGTACAAATAAGGGTTAAACTGCCCCTAAAAAAGATTTTCTAATCCTGCCTCTTATCTATAGTAACGTTATAGAATAAGTAATAGATCATATTATCGTATTTAAATGAAAAAAAAAAACGAGATAATAAAAATATACAAGAAATATAATATGAACATGATTTTGATTATCTGTAATGAACCATAATATATTCTGATCAAATATCTAACTTATTCTTTTTTGTCTTGCATGTTTATAAATTAATAAATGATTAGTTAACTAATAATTATTAATAAAATTATTATGAATAAATTTTACAAGATTATTATTGACTTTGATATTATTTTATATGAATTTGAAAAATAAAACATATTAAATAATAAAATTTTATTCTAAAACTCGTTCTTAACATTATTTTCTCATACGATGATAATTATTGTTAATTTTAAATTTCAATCGTTTAAATAATCTTTAATTGAATTTTTTGTTTTTTTTTAGATAATCTTATCTTAGTTTTTATTAAATATTGTTTTTTTTTAGTTTCATAGAAAAATTAATTTTCTTCAATGAAATTTATTTATATTTCAATATTAATGAAAATTTATTATTGTTGGAATAAACAAAATACATTGTGTTGATTTTTCGGCAAAATACGTTAATTTTCGAAATATTCATTTTTAAAAAAATTTTCAACTGTTTATTGAAAAAGACCTGTAGTGTCGACAATTTTTCGTATATTTAAAACTAAATTTGTAGAGTAAACAAAAAAAAAGCCTGTTGGCTCATCATTTTCAAATCGGTTAAATGAGATTCTTACTATTCTCGAACCAAAAATATTTCTAAGTTCATATTTAGATTTTGATGAAGTTTATAGTTTTTAGCTTGTTTAAAATAAAAAAAAATTGAATTAATTATTTCAAAGATCTTATTTTCTTTTCGAATCTTTAGATGACAACGATACTTACTCGACGTTTAATATCGAATATTTCATTGACTAATAATCGACAATTTTGGAGTTGGCTTAATTTTGTTTGGAACAAGTAAATTACATTAAAACTTAGAAGTTTTACAAAAATTAAAATTATTATTCAGTTCTCAATAATAAAATCTTCAGAAGACTAAGCAAATATAATATGTGTTTAGACAACATAAGACATCTTCGAGTTTTTAGTTGAGATACAACAATTTAATTCAAGATCAATAAATAGTTTGTCTATAATCACATATTGAAGAACATTATTTGCTCTATGAAATGTTTAAAACACGTTCTAGGTGTTGAATAATTAAAATTTTTTCTTAACAAAATTTCATAAACAACCATTTCTTTTTTTCTATTTGAATTGTATCTAATACTCGCGGAAGAAGTCAATAAAAAAATCTTATTAAATAATATTAATACTAATTGTATCTATACAATTTTTCAAGTTGATCTATTTTTATAGATAGTACTTGGTGGAAGAACTAATTGTAAATAAAGAAAATAGACACGTCTGTGTGTATATCATATTTATAGATCAACTATATTTAATGAGTTCTTAAATGTCAAATTAATAAGAACCAACTAGTGCAAAGAATTGTTGAAAAATTGACATAATTATATTTTTTTTTTGTTGGAAAATTTAATTTTAAGACTTGTCATTAATAGAAAAATTCTAGTAAATAAATATTCTATAGATATGATCAAAAACGTGTTCAAGAAATTGGTCCTGATCGTGCTTGTGCTGAATGGTTATTACGATGTGGTGGTTCAGTACGTTTTAAAAATTGGAATTCAATAACATCAAATTATAATGCTATACCAAGTGGTGATCCGAGACAAAATAAAATTGAAGAAATACGTGCTATTAAAGCTTGTATTACATCGGATGGTTTTGCTTATTTAGGTTATTTATTTATTTGATTAATTTATTTAATAGTTTTTTTTGATATTCTTATTGTTCTATAGATGGATTAACTGATTTAAAAAAAATTCATTTAGAAAAATGTGATTTAGTTGGTGATGGTATGTATGAATTTTTTTTTTTTTTTTTTTGAAATTAATAAAATTAATTTTAGGTTCAATTATACGATTTCGAAAAGTAAATGATACATTAGAATCTTTAGTATTAATTGATCTTGTTCAAATAAGTGAAAATGGTCTTGGTAATTTAACTGATTTAAAGTATGTATATTTTATTTTATTTTTATAAAATTAATGTGATTCCTTTTTTTTTTTTTAGAAATTTAAAACAAATCACTTTGGCACGTTTACCCGGTATTAAAAATCGTGATGGAATAATTAAATTATTACATAATGAATTACCGAAATGTACTATTAATTATGATGATAATTATCCATCTGCACCTGAACTTAAAGATAAATGAA